CCCTCTTCTTGGAGATAAAACTCCAGGGGCCAGCAGGATCATTTTTATGTTACGGCTGAGACAGCTCTGATTGCTCAGAGAGCAGGAGGGATGGCTAGGAATATGGAACCAGGAGTAATATGGGACCTGAACACACTATAGCCTTTGCCTGCTCCCTTCCCTCCATCCAGGCTACCTATGAGTCAGAATTGAAAAGCACCATGGAGAGCTTCCGCCAAGCCCAGTCCTCTGCTGGGTGGCCAGGGCAGCTCTATATCCTACTCCAGCATTTTTTTGGCTGCAAGCTCAGTCCTGACTTGTTACCACCTATATTCAAATTTGGCCTCTAAACCCACAATCAGAGCAAGGTGATTTGGGCAAAGCATGTATCTTCTTGGTTCACCTGTCCATGACATGGGGGATAATAATAGCAACTATCTTGTGGGATTGCTGTGAAGATGAAATACAATGATACAAGGAAAGTTCTGGAAGAATCCCCGAAGCAATATATCACCACTTAGGAGCTTTCCTTCCAACTTGCTTGGTGTTTAGTACATACGAAGAGGCACCAGGCTATTTGATTCCATTTCGCCCTCTTGCATCCGTGAGGTTGGCATTATTATTCCATTTTACAAAGGAGGAGACACTTGCCTTGGAGTCACACAGCTGGTGGCGGACTGAGCAGCCTGACTCTGAAGCTGAAGCTCCTGATATTTCACTGCAAAGCTTCTCTTTGGTCCAACATGGTCTGCAGCTGCTACTCGGAGCCTGAGTCAATGCACCCCAGGCTTGTCCTTCATCCTGTATGTCAGCGCAAACTGATGTTCCCGCAGCAGATAGTTTCTATCGCTGCTAACTTGGGCCATAGGCAGGACTGGCCAGAGCTGGAATCCTGCTGTCTTCGCCCCAGATTCCAGATTGCACAATCTGCTCCTCGTATTCATTGCTAACCATCTGCAGAAGCCCGCTAAGCCCTTCAGAGAAAGCTCATCAGGGAGCTCACCCACCCGCACCCAGACCCATTTTCCCCTCTTGCCATCACTTAGTAAGATACCCATCTTTTAAACTATGGGCCCTGCTGTAATATTAAGGCAGTAATTTATACACTTGGCTCCTGAGCTCCTGGCTGTTTCAAAGGCATTGATCACCCCGGAGCACTCATACATGATTCAGGCTTACTCCTCCAAGTCCTCTGCCAGCTATTGATTCCAATGACATTATTTATCAATTACGAAAGGTTTATTCCTCACTCGCTCCTGCACAAAAGAATCCGCGCATTTATTTTACAGCATGATTTATTGACACGTCACCATGCATTACATGGAAAATTGAATTTTTGGAGACTGGAGAACCTTAGGAAATTTCACAGGTTCAATTAGACAGGAGAACATCAAAGAGTTTAATGATACTATTTTTCATCCATTTGCTGCAGCACTGGGAAGGTAGGGGCCCTGGGGCGAGGTCAGTTCAGAATACCAAACTGCTCAGGATAAAGGATAAAGACCTCCAAGCTCAAACCCACCTCAGAGTCTTGGCACAAAGCTTCTGTTTATGTCTTTTGAGAGCAAACTGTTTGTTTAAGGTATGTCAATTTTTTTTGTCTCCAGAACAACAAACTTTTCCTTGGGCATTGGGGGAGATCTGGATAGATCTTTCCTTGAACCACAATAGAAAGAAGAGGGGGAAGTTGGGGTGTGGGTCAGAGTAAGAGAAAAATGGTGACATGATCTCTGTGGTAGTTTCTCAGCCTAGCCCCTGAATTTGTGTGTTGTATTTTTTCAGTATTGAGACTTAAATTTTATTTTTTCTAAAATGATTTTATTATAGTTCAGGTGACATGGCTACAGTGGTATTACAGCAGTATTAATATTTATGGTGTTGGTGTACAAAGTTCCTATACATCACCACGGCAAAAGTGCTCACAATCTTCTACCTCTTGCCTTATGTCACCTCTAGTCAGAACTTTATTCCTCATCAGCCCTGCCTATACTACTTGTTAATGTTTTATAATTCAAGGCTCAGGGTTTGTCATTGTTTGATTCTATTTCCCCTTGTTTTGTCTCTATATTCTATGGATGAGTGAGACCATCTTGTATTTGTCCTCTCTCTACCTTACTTTGCTTTACATGACACCCTCCAGTTCATGATGCAACAAACTGCTTACTTTTTATCTTTTCTTATAGCTGCATAGTATTCCACTGTGTTTATAAACCACAGCTTCTTTACTCTCTGTCTTTGGACATTTGGGTTGTTTCTATATCTTGGCTGTGAACCAATCGGTGCAATGAACACACTGTGCATACATTTTTTCAAATTAACATTTTTGGGGCCATACATGGTTTTACTTAGGGAATATTCCTGGCTCTGTGTTTAAGGATAACTCTTGGCAGGGATTGTTGACTATATGGGGTGCCGGGGATTGAACCTAGGTTGGCTGTGTGCAAGACAAACAACCTATCCACTGTACTATCTCTCTAGCCCCTCAAACCAATTTGTTATGGTGTAGATATCATGAAGTGGAATCACTAGGTCATAGTGACTTCTATTGTACTATTTTTGGAAGAATATTCACCTGCTTTCCATAGAAGGTAAATCAGAAAACATTCCCACCAATAGTCAATGAATATTCCCATTTCACTGTATCTCTGCCAGCCCCAGTTGTTTATACCCTTTTTGGTATATGTCATTATCATTGGTGTGAGATGATATCTCCTTGCTATTTTCCTTTGAATTTTCCAAATAGTAAATGACAATGAATACTTTTTCATAGGCCTTCAGGTCACTCATATTTTTTAGAAATTGAGGCTAAAATTTTTAGTTTCTCTAATCTGTTAGCTCCTGAGTTTTACACCTTCATTCCCCCAGCTTCTTTCACACGTATAGAAGCTTTAATTCCCTAACTAAACCTGTGTCCTTATTATGCTTATGGTAGGTTTATTGTCCTGCTGGTATCTTAGAATGATGCAGTGGAAGGTCTCTTTTACATTCCTAACATTCTTCTTAGGAGCAAGTGTAGTATAGACATAGTAGATAATAAAACTGTCTCTTATATGCTATGGTCAAGAACTGGAGATAACTTAAGTGCCCATTGCCTGATGATTGGATGGAGAAGATGTGTCACATACACAGTGGAATATTTAAGTCAGCTATAGAAAAACGGATGAAACCCCACTACCTGTGATAACACTATGGACCTAGAGGCTATTATGCTTAATGAAGCAAATCAGATACAGGAGGACAGATACCACATGGTTGAACTATCCATGTTGTATATTGAGACTGATGCTTTAAGTACAATTTAAAAAAAACACCAACTTTTAGGTACTGAGATCAAATTAGTGATTATCAGAATAGAAGGGATGGTGAGAAAAGTGAATAAATAAGGTAAATGGATTCAATTGAAGGTGAAATATAATTTGGACTAAGTTTGAAATTAAGGTAGTATTTACAAATGTTGATTTACAATGATAAATATCTGAAACATATCATGTCATGATACAGTTACTTCTATAAAATAATAAATATTATGTCGAATTTTAAACAGATTAGTAGAGAATCCTATTTCCATGACTGGTTAACTCCCTCAGGGTCTTTATAGCTTATCACCTCCAGGAAGTCTTCCTTGATTTCAAGTGAAGGACAAGGGTGCCCTTGGTGGTATCCCACTGCTGGGCACATGTTTGTGCTGTGTTCTGAGCATCTGTCTGCTTACCTAATTTCTGCACTATTGCTCTTTAAGGTTAGCATGAATCTTAATGGACCCTATTTTACTACTGGAGTTCCTGGCAAATAGAGTCCTCAATAGAGGTTTATGTATGACCTTAATCATTTATTTTTCAACCAATCATCTGTTGGATATATGAGCAATTTGTATGGGCGACTAGACATTTGCATTCATTCTTTCAGGTGACCCACGTAATAAATGGCTAGGGGTTGGCTAAGGGTGGCTTCTCTGATAGTAAAATCAAGAATTTTGCAATCTGACAAGTGAAACACGAGGGGATAGGTGTGAGTGACTCCCCTTGTGTTGAGGCACAACCCATAAACCAAAGCTAGAAGACTTTGGAACAGATATTAGAGAAATAAAAAAACAGACAATAATTATATGTGGAAATGTTACAGTAATAATAAGGTAAATTGAATATTAAATAGGGACAGGGATCTAACATTTTAGTGGGGTAAAATTTAGGATTAAAATCAGTGTCTAAGATGTTAAAACATGACAGATCGTTTGGATCACTAGAGCCACCATTTATTTAATCAACTTTCCATTTCCTAGAATGGGCTGGAGATTAATTTATATCCCTTTGTAACTGTGATAAAGACACAGGCCACTTGCTACAGATTCACTTAAAGGAACAGATTCATTCCCATAAGGCTAGCCTTGAAGCAAATTTCTCTAAAGTGAATTAGATTTTCCCATTGATTTACATGATTAAATTAAAGATGTGTTCTCGTGGGAAAAGTTGACCAATAAATGGAATTAATTTTTAACACATGAAAGGGGTAGAAGGAATAGTTGAGCACTAGTCTGTGCCAGTGTCCTGCTAGCTTGGAGCTATTGTGCTCACCTTGTCATTTACTTCCTTTGTGACATCAAGCATTCTAGTCTATAAGTCATTTCTTTGCCAAGCTTTATACATTGGGATGGGGGCAAGAGAGGAAATCAGCCAGAAAGGAGGCAACCTTTAGTTCTTATTCTAGGCTGGTTGTAAAATGAGATGCTTTCAGATTTGTACAACTACCTTCTGAAGGAGCTTTTATTATCCTTATTGAAAGACAGAGACTCTGTTCATTTTAAGCAGAATAAATCAGAAGGAAAGGGACAAATAGCCAATGATCTCACTCTTATGTTGTTTATGAAGGCACAAAGCAAGGCAATGGACAGCATTCAATAAAAACAAATCCTTTTTTGTTTGTCTCGACTTTGACTACAGAACTAAGGTTGCCAGTAAGGGGAAGATGGGGCTATCGATGGCGACGGAAGAAATGAATTGGAAGTGACATAAGAACAGTGGAGGGTGCTTGCTTCGGCAGCACATATACTAAAATTGGAACGATACAGAGATTAGCATGGCCCCTGTGCAAGGATGACATGCAAATTTGTGAAGCATTCCATATTTTTCCTACCAAAAGTAGCACACATTTGTTTGGTTTGTAACATACTTGCTTGTATTCTCTTGTATTTGTGCTTAAGTGGCTCCAGAAAGAAACACAACAACCTTCACACACTTCCCTCTTACTGTGGTGAGAAGGTGCTCGGTGGTGGGATTGGCGTTTGAATATTATCTGTAATGAACTATTGTGAACTACTTTTTTTTTCTTTTTGGGTCACACCCAGCGATGCACAGGGATTACTCCTGGCTCTGCACTCAGGAATTACGTCTGGCGTTGCTCAGGGGACCATATGGGATGCTGGGAGTCGAACCTGGGTCAGCCGTGTACAAGGCAAATGCCCTATCAGCTGTCCACTATCACTCCAGCCCCTATTGTGAACAACACTTATAAAAAATATAAAAATTGCAAAAACTATTTAAAAAAAAGAACACTGGAGGAAGGTAATTGCCATTTTAATGGGCAATTTGGCAATTCTGTGGTGGTAGGTATAATAAAGTTGTACACCAAAAACATTAACATAAATTATTAGAACCATGTTACCCCAACAACAATAAAATTAAAAATCAAACCCAAAAGATAGGTACCTCCAGATGTCAGGAAATCACTTGTCCAGAGCTGGGCCTGACTCCAAAGGTCATGCTTTATGAGCTTTGTAACATTGGGAAACAAAGGGAAAATAACCCAAAACCACTGATAATGAAAAGATTCACTTTCTGATTTTCCTGAGGATGGGATCATGGTTTTATCTTCTACATGCAGGAACATCAATTGGCTACAAATTCTCTCAGATTAAACAGAGAAATTGCTCAGTGGCCACCTGGTCCTACAATCATGGTGACAGTTTTGAATCTCCCTGGTTTTAGCTCAAAACCTTCTATACATGTTGGGTTTTCACAACTCTGAGAGGAGGGGTCTGCACAGTACTGAGGAGGAAGCATATGGCAGAGGGAGGGTCTGGGAACTTGAATTTTTCACTGAGGCTCTGACTTTCCCATTTGCTGTGTGGTATTGGGTTATCCCTTTCCCCTTTTTGGGCCTCTGTTTCCCATCTATAAAATAAGGAAAGGGCATCTGTACAGAAGCCATTCTTTAAGGCTACCCTTCCCCACATCTGATTTCTATTATTTCTTTGATTGCTTTCTGATTACTCTCAGTGTTCAGACAAAACCAAGCATTGACCGCATGTGTGGAAAAAAAATTGATTGTCTATTTTGTGTATTTAATAGCTGGCATTTAAATGGAGCGATATTTTAGGTTATAGAACGCTGTTTGCAAACATAAAAAATATCATAAAAATCAAATATATGCAGTCCGTACACACACCAGCACCAAATCAAGTACACAAACAGAAGTTGAGATGCATCATTATAAGCTCCTGATTGAGAACAAAGCTGCAGTCATTTCAAAGGCAATTTTCATATAAAAATTGATTCTCTTCATGCTTTTCCCATGATTCAAATTAGGGAGGATTATGGGCTTGAAAAAAGAGAGACATAAATTCTTTAGGAACAACTGTTTAGGAATTTGAGGTTTGAAGCTTAAGCTCTGATGAAATTTTGAGTCTGAGGCATCAGTGAGAAATGTGAGTTGGTCTTAAAAATTCCACAGATGGAGACATAGATTAAGTCTCTGCATTCACATGCTAGGCCACATTTAATTGTCACCATCACCCTGTCAGAGAGGTGATATAAGCCCATTTTATAGAGGGTGAAACAGAGGATTCAAGAGGAGAAGTGACTTCTCCAAGATTGAAGAGCCTGTAATTGACCCACAAAGACTTCTGACTCTGAACTGAAAATTATAGTTGGAGATACAGTTCAGGAGTAGAGCACTTGTCTTGCATGTATCAGGGCCTGGGTTTAGTTTCAGGCACCACAGAACAAAACAGAACAAAACACCCAAATCAAGCACACACAAAAACCTGATCTCAGTATTTTTCTAATGTTGCAGAGATCAAATCAATGAAGCAATGATTTATTTGTCAAAGTTTTGCTGAGTTGTTATGTTCTAGGTCCCAGGTGGTTGAGAAAGGTCCAGCACTTTGTATGCCTAAATATGAGTATCTCAAACAGCCCAGCCTTGTCATTTGGATCCAAACATGTCCAGCTATCCACTAATTTCTAGAAATCTCTTCAAGGTAACAGAATTTGTACACTGCTCTCTGCTGATTTGTTTCCTAGTAAAAGTGACTGAATTTTTCTGGTCTTGAATTTGACTGAATGATGCAACTTTTTTAAGCTTGAACTTTGTCTGAGAGACAACACGGCAGGTCACTGGACTGAGTGATATGCCTAACATGGTGTGAATGAGAAGAGCTTGGGGATATATCTTGGGAGTTGGTACTTCATTTCTAATTTTGGATAGCCATAGCTTCTGTTATGCTCTAGTAGGAAAAGACTGGAAGGGGTGAGGAGTGAGTTTTGGCCAGGAGGAGGGGTGGAATGGAGACTGTTGCAAAGATCCAGATTAGACATGAGGAGCTGGCCAGGAATTTATGATTAAGGTAGAGAAGAAAGGAAAAATTTCATGACAATTCCATGGGACTTAGCCGTGTTTGATGGGAGAAGAAGGGTGATTGGCAGCTGTTGGGAATTTTAAGAAGTTTAATAAATAAAAACTTTCTGTTTACGTCTCCATTGGAGACTTTGTTACTGTGTCTGTTTACAACTTGAATTGATTGGGAAATAAAGCAAGAGGTTATTAAAATAGAAATGAAAAATAGAAGTTTAGTTTTTGTTAAAATGGAGGCAAGGGAATGTGGTTTGCATATAGGCCAGCGTGATATTCAATACTAAATCTTAGAACCAGAAAGTGCTTTCAACTTTCTAGTGATGGTTGTGGTACCTTATTCCTAGAGGTGATGTGCTTCCAAGAGAGGGGAAGGAGAAGAGGATGGTTATATCTACATGTGCCCAGTGGTGGGATGAGTGACGTATGGAAATGACAGAGGACATCACTGAGTTTCCTTCTCATGGAGATAAATGTAGGGACTGGGAAATTCTTGGGTCTCTGATTTATTTCATCTATTTAGGTAGAAAGAACAGAATCAGGAGGAGTCTTGGGAGAGGTTTGGGTTTATGAGGACTTTGCCTGCCCCTTAATGGAGATGGCTGTCTGGAAAGTCAGGCATGGAAGCTGTTGACAGACAATATTGGTTTTAGTCATGACCAAAGCAAATATTGGCCAGGGATGTGACTTTATGGTAGAATGCATGTATCTCATGTGTGATCTGGGTTCAATTCCTGGTGCCACAAAAAGAAACCAGAAAACTCCAATGTGTGTAGTTGGGTTGAGAAAGGACAATTATTGATTAAGAAAAGGGAGAGTGGGTAGGGAAGAAGGTTTAGGGTAAAGAGGGGGAAAGAAGAATAAAAAGAGACTGAAGGTGAGAAGAAAAAACTAGAGACAAGAGGTACAAGGAAAACAAGGGCACAAGGTCAGCTGAGACAAAGGAAAAAGGAGTTTAAAAATGAGAAAGGGTAGATCAGGAGTCTGGAATGATTTAGATTAGACATATTTCATTGTCCAGCTTTGAGATCTGTTTGTTTTGTTCTTTTTTTTAAAATTTATTTATTTATTGAATCACTGTGGGAAAGGTTACAAAGCTTTCAGGTTTAGGTCTCAGTCATGCAAATATTAAACACATTTCCCTTTACCAATACTTCTTTTTTACCATGAAGAACCCCAATAAGACCCCACCCCCCCACCCCTCCCAGTCCCTGTGAGGCAGATGAATTCTAGTTAACACTCTATCTGCTTTGATTAGATTCATTGTTTCATTAAAAGATTCACCACTATTATTTAGAGTTTACCCACCCCCCCCCAAATCAGACATGCTGAAAAAGCATTGTGAAGTGATTTGCTTTCTACAGCTGGGTTCAAGAATTAAATGTTGGTTTTGGATTTCTGTTATTTTACTTATTGACCCTGGAAGTATTTCTACTGAAAGTCAGATAGCTAAGAAATTGGTTTCTGTGCTCTGGAGTCGTGACCGTGCTGGAGAGCCGCTCGTGGGGGGCAACTGGTGGCCTCGGTAGGGCGTGAAGGGCGGACCAAAACGCCCCCCTTCCCATGAGGTTTTAGTCGCCCCCACACCCCCGGCTCATACCTGCTGTCCACAAGGCTCCCATGCGGCCGCCATCTTTCTTTCCAGGGAGGAAAGGGCGAATGGGGCAACACCCTTTCCCCTCCGGACAGACATGATGGCCTGGATTAACGCATAGTCTGTTCACTTTTCTGCTCCAAGCTGCCGGGTTCTGCATTAAGTCCTTGTGCTTCTGGGGCCGTGGCTGTGCTGGAGAGCCACTCGCGGGGGGCAAATGGTGACCTCGGTAGGGCGTGAAGGACGGACCGGAACGCCCCCCTTCCCATGAGGTTTTAATCGCCCCCACACCCCCGGCTCATACCTGCTGTCCACAAGGCTCCCGTGTGGCCGCCATCTTTCTTTCCAGAGGGAGGAGGGCGGAAGGGAGCAACACCCTTTCCCCTCCGGGCAGACATGATGGCCTGGATTAACGCATAGTCCTTTCACTTTTCTGCTCCAAGCTGCTGGGTTCTGCATTAAGTCCTTGTGCTTCTGGGGCTGTGGCCATGCTAGAGAGCCGCTCGTGGGGGGCAACTGGTGACCTCGATGGGGCGTGAAGGACGGACCGGAATGCCCCCTTTCCCATGAGGTTTTAGTCACCCCCCACTCCCCCGGCTCATACCTGCTGTCCACAAGGCTTCCATGTGGCCGCCATCCTTCTTTCCAGAGAAGAGAGGGCGAATGGGGCAACACCCTTTCCCCTCTGGCAGACTTGATGGCTGGATTAACGCATAGTCCGTTCACTTTTCTGCTCCAAGCTGCTGGGTTCTGCATTAAGTCCTTGTGTTTCTGGGGCTGTGGCCGGGCTCCAAACTTAACTCTGATTTTCAGGGAGAAACGTTGAGTGGTTTACTTCCCATTGATCACTTTGTATATAGAGAGATGTCGCACGGCCGCGTAAGTGGCCACGCGGTTTTGAGGAA